AAAATAAATAGTATAATAATATTAATAATAATAAAGAATAATAATATAATATAAAGAATAATATAATAATATAAAAGAATATAATAAGAATAATATAATAATAATAATAATAATATAATAGAATAATAATAATAATATAATAATATAATAATATAATATAATAATAATATAATTAATAATAATAATAATAAGAATAATAAAGAATAATAATAATAATAATATAATATAAAATAATAATAATAATAATAATAATTAATAATAATAATATAATAATAATAATATAATAATAATAATAATAATAATATAATAATAATCATATAATAATAATAAAATATATAATAATAATAATAATAATGGAAAGCCGGTGGGCTTGACAGAATCCATAATTACTGGTTAAAGAAGATAAGTGCCACCCAAAAACATTAGCGGTATCTTAACAAAAACTACTAAAAGGAGAAGAAGGTCTGCCCACGTGTGATGAACAGTGGCATCACATATCTTATTTACAAGAAAGGAGACCCTTCTAAGCCAGAAAAACAGACCCATTACTTGTTTATCCGTACTGTACAAATTACTAACTGGGATAATGTCGTCTCGTATATATGACCACCTAATAGCTCAACAGTTGATTCCAGCTGAGCAACGAGGATGCTGCAAAGGTTCATACGGATGTAAAGATCTACTATTATATAACAAAAAGATAATGAAGGACGTACACAGTAAAAAGAAAAATCTATCATTATGCTGGATAGATTATCAAAAAGCTTACGATAGCGTACCACACCAGTGGATATTGAAAATACTTAAATATTCAAATTGACCCAAACATCATCAATCTGTGTGAAAAAAGTATGAAGGAATGGAACACCCAGCTAAAGATACAATCTAAGGATGCACCTATCAATAATAACCCGCAGATTAAAATCGAATCTGGAATATTCCAAGGAGATTCACTATCACCTCTCCTTTCTGCATGATGATGTACCCCCTGTCCAGAATGCTAAATCAAAAGCCAAAATTGGGATATAAACTACTCAAAGATGAGCAGCCAACAACACATCTTCTATACATGGATGATTTAAAGTATACGCGAGTTCGGACACAGCGCTTGAAGAGCAAATTAAGATAGTTTCACGACTTAAGTAGCACAATTCATATGAACTTCGGATTAGATAAGTGCGCCAAAGCGACAATAAAGAACGGAAAAAGTGGAAAAAAACGGAAAAAACAACAGTCCAGGGAAATATTACCATCAAAAACCTAGATGCTGGAGAAAGCTATAAATATCTTGGAGTTTATGAAAACCCAGAATTGGTGTAATGATGAAATGAAAGAGACCATCAGTAAAGATATCTAA